TGGGGAGCAGCCAGGAGTAAAAGCAGAGCTGGCCTTTATCCTCCCGTGACCTACTGCCTTGTAGGAGACACGGAGGAAGCATGCAGACACTCCCACATACAGTGGAACCTCTGAAGCCCCCTCATGATAGAGATTTACACAGCAGAGTGGATCTGGAGAGGCAGTCAGAGTGCCCTTGCTGAGGTGGTGACATTTTGGGCAATAGAAGAGGGATAGTGGTGTCACTAGTGACTGGCCAGCCCAAAGCCGGCCACCTCACTGTTAACCTCAATTCACTCCCCAGATCCCATCTCTTTCTAGAAAGCAGAAGTCAAGGTTGGACAGCCAGACAGTGGGCTCTGAGCCTAGAGAGAGGCTTTCAGTACCATGGGCAGCAGGCAGAAGAGTCTCCAGAAGACCCTTCCTTGTAAAGGGGCCCATCTCTTCCTCACCAGCTAGAGCTACGATGGGTTTGAGAACACCCATACCTGTCACCTGCCCACCCGTGAGGCCTGCCCACCCTCACTCCACCAGCTCCAGAACAACCTTGGGCAAGTCAGTTTCTGCACATTTGCAGTGGCATTCACATTCTTGATCTAGAAGGGCCCTTCCAATTCAATGAATCCATTTTGGAACAGTAAATGTGATTTAATTTAATCTAGCAGGTTTGGGAGCTGATCCCTGGCATGTTGGTGGCTTGGAGAGCGTTTGAGAAAGTGATTTCCCTCTAAAGGATTGGGAGGTTAGGACTGGAGGGGACCAGAGGTTAAATGTGTTCATGCTTCGATATCTGGATTAAAGAGGGAAAAGAAATCACATCTTTTGAGAACCTCCTATACATCAAATACTCTGCCAACCCTCAGGGTTTTCCAGTGAGTTTAAAAAACAGCATCTGCTACCAATCCTCCCAGTGAGACCTGGGACAAACCTCTCTGCACCCATGGGCCTCAGTTTCTCCACTGTGAAGAAAGGCTGTTGAACCCAACCCCGTTCTGGTGCTGGCACTTTGTTATTTTCACACCCATCAGTATCTGAGAATGAGTAATGAGGAATTCTATGCCGGGGCCCTGCAGGGCCCACTGACTCCTTTGTATCCCACATCCATTTGCAGGCTCAGAGGGCTCAGAGGGCTCAGAGAGGTGCAGTTGCTTGTCACAAGCCACACAGCTTGTAAGAGGTAGAGCCTGGAATTGAACCTTTGGCTGTTAGACCCAAGTATAGTATTTTTCTTCCTGAGCTGGCACTCAATGGAGGAGAAGTTGAGCAAAGAGCTTCTTTGCAAAAGCAGGATCTCAGAGCAGGGAGAGTGGGTGGAGCTCATGCCCCAAGCTCAAGAGAATCCCTCCCTCCTCCGCTTCCATAGTTTCATTTGTTTATAAAAACCAAAAAAGGTCAGTTCAGGACTTTCTCTGTGCGGGGCCAGGCACTGGGGCAAAGAGCAACAGGATGACTGAGACCTGATCCCCACTGTGTAGATATCCTCCACCTCCAGGTTAGTTGGGGAGACACACTGAACTGGCTATGACAGAACAGTGACAAGCTTAGGGAGAGAGTTTGTGCAGCAGCTGAAGGTACACAGAGGCGGGAGCAAGGCTGCGAATGCGTCCCAGAGCAGGGGGCATTTGACGGCAGAGTCAAGGAGGGCAGGGAAGGGCACTGCCAGCCAGGGCACCAGCAGGTGCAAAGCCAAGGAGCCAAGTCATGGCAAAAAGACACAGACTGGAAAACGTAGCGGTCACAGAACGACCCCCCAGGGGCTGAGTCCAGCCTGAGAGGTACTTTGTGACCACAGACTGTTGAAAAAAATTTTAAAACCTTAATTGTTATCTTTTAAGAGCCAGGAGATTTTATTTTGAATTCTAGATTTTCAGTTTCTGGATTGTCTGGAAGCTCTGAGCCCCCATTCCCTCGAGTATCAGTGGGGGAGAGCTGGGGGACCACTGCCTCTGGCCCACACCACCTGCTTGCATCATTTACTTGGGTCCATAGGACGTTTAAAGTTGGGATTCCCAATCTACCACCCAAGGCTTTTTTCTGGCTGGGGACTGGCCCCAAAGTAAATGGCCTTGGGGAGAAAGGAAGTGGGGTGGGGGGTCCTGTTGGGCTGGGGGATACTCCTCAGACATGGTGAGGACCCCCCTCCCCACATATAGTGTAAATGGCTCTGGGCCCCAAGCCCTCCTAGGAGGCCAGAGAATGGGACAGGGGACCCATTCCTCAGTGACTGGCCCTCCAGATTCTAGGGACAGAGAGGATGATTTTAATTCAAGGAAGGACAGGGATCATGGCCTTTCATTGTCCTTAAAAAAATACATGATTCTTGGCTTGGTGCCCATAGCTCAGTGGTTAAGGTGCTAGCCACACACACAGAGGGTGGCGGGTTCAAACCCAGCCTGAGCCAGCTAAACAACAGTGACAATTGCAACAAAAAATAGACAGGTGTTATGGCAGGCACCTGTAGTCCCAGCTACTTGGGAGGCTGAGGCAAGAGAATTGCTTAAGTCTGAGAGTTTGAGGTTGCTGTGAGCTGTGATGCGATAGCACTCTACGGAGGGCAACATAATGAGACTGTCTCTAAAAAAAAAACAAAAAACAAAACATGATTCACTTCTATCTGTTCCAGTAATCTCTCCATGGTTCTGCCTGTTGGCCACTGTAACAGCAGCTACAATCACTTCTAAATGCTCACTTAGAAAAGCAATCAAACCAAATATTTACTTCTAGCTCAGGAAAAAAAAGTCCCAAACACCTTTATGTTGGCAGCGAGCACTTCCCAAAGAATACAACTGTTTCCATGATTAGGGCCAAAGCAAATATTTTTTTCCTGAGGCCAAATTATTCTAGAATGGTTGCAAAATATTTCCTGCCCCTTTAAAAGGTATAGTAAAATTTGCCAAACACAAACGTTAAAGAATATTAAAAACAGGAGAAAAAAAGCAAACCCCCTCCATCGCTACTCGTACAACAGTCTTCTTTGGCTCTTTCCCTCCAGCCTTATTATTAGAAAGAACCTCCCAACACTCAGTGCTGCTTTGGAGACAGGGAAAGCAATGAATGAGCTCTCCATCCTTAGAGGTGGGCAAGCAGAAGCTTGGCTTCACAGGGAATTCCCATTTCAGTGGGCTTTCTACAGAGAGCCAGTATGACCCAAAAGTATGGTCAAGTGTGTCTCTGAGCATCCATTAGAGCTTGGAGTAAGAAAACAACATAACATAGAACGAATTTCTTTTTTCTTCCTTTCCTTCTCCTCTCTTTTTCTTTTCTTGCTTCTGAGACAGGGTCTGGTTGTCATCCAGGCTAGAGTGCCATGGTGTCCTCATGGCTCACTGCAACCTCAAACTCCTGGGCTTAAGCAATCCTCCTGCCTCAGCCTCCTGAGTAGCTGGGACTGCAGGCACCTGCCACAAGGCCCAGCCCTTTTTTCTATTTTTAGTCGAGATGGGGTCTTGCTCTTGCTCAGGCTGGTCTTAAGCTCCTGAGCTCAAGCAATCCACCTACTCCAGCCTCCCAAGTGCTAAGACTACAAGTGTAAACTGCCTCACCCAGCACAGATTTCTTTTAACACTGAAGTTTGGAAGCAGGAAGAAATGAATTCAGTGCAGCCCCACTCTGGTTGTGCGTTCTAAGGCAGCTGCTTATCCTTGCTGAGCCTCAGCTCCCTGGCCTGTGAAATGGGTAGAGCCTGCCTCATGGGCTTGTTGTGGGAGTGTGGAGCTGTGCGTGCTCCGTAACTGTGGGTTTTCTCCCTCTGCCCTTCAGTCCCCCAGCACCATGCCGTCTGCTTCCCGAGCTCTCTCACCTCCACCTCCACTGATCCACTGTGGAGCACCTGCCTGGGGTTCAGGCCTGGCTGTTCTGCGCTAGGGGTCTACTGGGGCCAAAGCCAGTGGCTGTACCACTCAGGGCTCTGAGATGAAGAGGTCCCTGAAGGTCAGGGAGAGGATGTGGGGGACCTACTGGGCAGGCGAAACTTGTGCTAGGCCTTGAGGATTTGATTTGGCAGTGGATACAAGGACATTTTAGGCAGCCAGACCATGGGATGGGAATGGTTCTGGCAATCTAGAAAGACTACAGAGACACACAGGGTGGGCAGGAAATGGTCTTCTAAGACTCAGGAAGACCATAAGAGAAGGGGGGCAGCAGATGAGAAGCATGCTGGCCACCAGGAGCCGCAAGTGGTGGTGAGCGCAGAGCCTGCCCTCTGCCTTGGCTCTCAGGTCAGCTCTGCACGCATGTGCCACCGTCACCATTCCTGGGGGCCATGAGGACTAGGCCCACGGAAGCATCTGCTCTTGTCTTCCTCCCTAGTTCCCCAAGGCTCCTTGAACATGGATAGATACTTGGGTCACTCAGGAGGGGCCTGCCCAAGTGAGGGATAGTTACAGGATGTGGGTGGGTGCTGGATGGGTAGTGGGACTGGGGCTTAGCCAAGGGTGGGTGGCAGAAGGGACAGGTCTAAGGAAAGCAGGTGGGTGGTTGGCAGGAGTGGGGGACAGCTCAATACTGGTGGGTGGAGGTGGGGCAGGTGGGTGCCTGGTGGGTAAGGAGTTTATGGTGGACTGTACAGTGGGTGTGAAGTGAGCTGGGCTCAGGAGGTCAGACTGTGGGTGCAGTGGGTGGGGGCAGGGATGCTTGGGATACAGGCAGATGTGTATATGTAGAGGCGGCTGGAGGATGTGTCCCTGGGTGGGAGCAGAATGGTGGATCAGGTGAGTATGCTGTGGGGTGCCTGAGCAGGCAGGGGAGGGGGTGAGCAGAGTGGACTATGTTGGTGTGTGGTGAGTGGGTGGGGCAGACATTGGCAGGTGTGCTGGGGAACAGCTGGGTTGCCAGGTGGGCAGGAGGCGGGCTGGGTGGAGGGCTGGCTGGGCCAGTGGGTGGGCTGATCGATGGGAGGAGGGGTAGAGGGCTTGGTGAATGGGGGGTGGGTGAGGGACATGCAAAGTAAGTGGGGCGGAAGGGTCGAAGGGGTGTCGGGGAGGAAGGCGGCTTTTGGCACTGACTGCCTTGTCTCTTGGCAGGACACCAGCCACACATGGCAGACTCCTGGCCCCGGAGCTCGGCTCACGAGGCACCAGAGCTGAACCGCCAGTGCTGGGTCCTGGGGCACTGGGTGTGACCAAGATCCCAGTCTGGCCCTGGGACCTCAGGCCGCCGCTGGCACCACCCCCTACCACAAGACCATCAGTCTGGTGCCTCTGGAACCCTGGCCTGTGGGATGTGAACTCAGCAGCCTGCGTGGGAGACACCAGGCCTGTCCTGCCCACCACTGCCTGGGTCCCAGGGCCCTGGACATGGGAGCCGGGTGGGTCTGAGGGAAGGCATAGGTCTGCACAGTGACTCCCGGACAACAGCCACTGTTGCTTGCCACCATCTCATGCAGAGATCTACCGGGTGTGGCTGCCATGCCACGAAAGACATGGACACTGGCCACGGAATGCCTGGCACCCACAAGCCAGCTAGGACCCTAAGGAGGTGCCGAGAGGGGCGAAGCCTGAGGGGGACAGGGAGTGGGCTTCCAAGAAGAGGTGCAGAGGCACTGGCACTGCAGGGGGTCACACAGCAGGCACACAGCAGGGGCTCAATAAATGCTTGCTGAACCTGTTTCCTTACAGTGTATGGAGGCCAGTTGCTCTCTGGGCTGTGCTGCCCCCCATCGCTCCACCCACTGCTGTCCTGGAGGCTGCTGGGGAGAGCCCGAGAATGCTCAGGGCCAGTGGCTGGAGCCCAGGCAGGATGAACACAGGTTGGTGGGGCTGCCTCAGATCCCAGAGGGTGTACAAGGCAGGGCCCAAGCAAGCAGGAGACATGGGTGGATGAGAGATGGGCCCCCAAACCCAGGCCCTAAGCTGGAAGGGGGAAGAAGCCACACTTTTCCTTAGAGCTTAGCAACAGCACACTACCCTGACCCCTGCTGGGGCCCCTCACTCGGTGTCTAGGGCCTCCTTTACACAAAATCCGGGGCTTAGATGCCTGGGGACACAGGTTCCTACTGTAAAGATGGGGGAACTTAGGGTGGCAGAGATGAAGTAACTTGCCCAAAATTACAGAGCTATCAAATATCAGAGCTGGGGGTTGAACCAGGACTCCTGAATCCACGTTCAGCATCTCTGAGGAGGCCTTATCCCTTCCCAGAAGGATTTCTAGAGCTTTCCCCCAAGTAGAAAGCCATCCTATCATACATCTATCATCCATTCCATCTATCCATCATCCATCCATTCATTACCCATCCATCATCCCCCCCTCCCTCCATCATCCATCATCCATTATCCACCCCCGTCCATCCCTTCACCATCCATCCCTCTGTCATCCGTTATCCATCCTCCATCCGTCATCCATCCTTCCTTGTAACAGACATCTGTTCATCATCCTTCCATGCACACATCCTCGTTATTCAGCCATGCATCCTTGGATCCATTGTCCACAATGATATAATTCATTGTGTCCCTACTATGTGTTAAGCCCTGTGGCAGGCGCTTGAGATAGAGCACTGAAGTACCCAGAGAGGGCATCTGCTATTACTGAGTGCTGGGGTCAGACTGCCTGGAATCAGATTCCACCTCCTCCTAGTGACCTTGGGCAAGTTGACCACTCTGTGCCTCAGTTTCCTCACCTACTAAATGGGGGTACTCATTATACCTACCTCTCAAAGCTGTTGTGAGGATTACATGAGCTAACGTACATGAAGCGTGTTCAGAACAGAGCCTGGCACACAGCAGGGGCTTACAGGAAGCTCCCACTGGGGGTGAGTGGAGGGAGTGGTGGTCAGGGCTGGCTCCCTTGGGAAAATGTTGTCCGTGTGTCAGGTGGGCAAAAGTATACTCTTGAAGAAAGAAAGCACATTAGAGGGCTGTAAGATGGTCCAGAGGGCAGATGTGGAGAGGAGAGGTCAGGAGGGTGTGGTGGGAAATCAGGCTGCAGAGGGTGGTGGAGCCAGGCCAGGAGGGATTGGAAGCCTCCTTAGGAAGCGTGGAGTTTATCCTGGGGGCAGGGAGAAGCAGCCAGATGCTTTCAGTGGAGAAGATCACTGCAGCTATGGGCAGAGAATAGATGTAGGAGACTGATCTGGCTCAGGAAAGTGGCCTTGGGGAGAAAGGACCACGGAGGCAGATTCAGGAACTAGTTAGGAGGGAAAATCAACAGGCCTAGAATGGATTGAGGTGAGAGGAAGGGAAGGTTGGTGCTGACTCTTGGGTACGGGATTGGGTATCTCAGTTGGGGAAGATGGAGACTTTATGGTTCTTGAATCTCTGGGGCCCAGGGCATACCCAGGGGGAGGTGCGTGATCATTCATTCATTGATTCATTCATGCATTGAATAATCAAGTAAGTGACCTGTTAATTTACTATTCATTCATTCAACAAATATTGAGGACCTACTGGGTGGGGCTGGAGACGGGCCTGGGAGAGAGATCAGGGCCTAGGTAACGAAACCTCCTTGAATGTCAGGACGAGGAGTTCAGGTTTGGCCTCGTGCAAGAGGGAAACACTGTGATTTGGGGCCCCCAGGCATCTCAGAGCACTTATCTCACCCACGTCTTCTGAAGTTGACTAGTGGACCACAGGAGGTCCAGAAGATGATTTTAGTTGACACGTGGGCAAATTTTAATCTATTTTAATAGTTGTGTTTATGTAAATGTGTATTAGAAAAAAATGTATAATGGGCACATCAGTGCTATGATCTCACAGATGTTATTGCTTAGAGTGAAACCAAAATAGGCATTTAAGTAAAAAGAAAAAGAGTTGGCTTAAAGAAAAGTATTAAATAAATAATCGTGTAAGTAATATGTGATTATGATATGTTATGGCTCACATGAGGGCCATTGTCACAAGGGAAGGGAAAGAGGATCACAGGGCCACTTAAGCTTCAAGTTCTAGCTCCTGGCCAGGGGCTGAGAACAAGCTGTCTTTCAGTCCCACAGAACCTGCAGCAAGAAGACTGCTAGTTAGATAAAAGGAAGCACTTCCAGGCAGGCCAGGTGAGTAATCCACTGGGTCACTGAGAGTCACTGTGAGTTGTCTTCACACAGGGAACAAATACTACTGTCTGCCCCAATCTGGGAGGAGGGAGGCACCACCTAATTTGAAGGCAGAGGGTGGCTTGGTGAGCATCCAAAGAGACCTGGAGAGGGAAGAAACGGTCCCTTCTTTCCACTCTTGCAAATAGCGTTCCCCGCTAACCCTTCCCTGGGTTGAGCAAACATGTTCCAAGGGGACAGCTGGCTATTGACTTGTGGTGGGTGGCTTTGATCTTGACACCTACACACTGGCCTGACACACAGCTTGAGGTTCTTATGCAGCCTTATTCTGCACCTGCACCCAATGTCTCTGTATCTACACTCCAACCTTAACTGTGGCCCAGTCACACATACACGTGAACATCAGAGGCTGACCTTGGCCAAAGGTGCTGACCACACACACACATACACTCTTGTGCTGACTATGCACAAGCATGAGTCAGCACTTTGCACTGCCATGTTCATCAGTGCCACGTTCTCCCACTGATCCTGTGTGCACACTCGTATACTTGTGCTGGCCCTGGACAAGGTGTCACATGGCCCTGTGCACATGCCTGTGTCTGCACGTGCTTGGTGCTTCTCTCGTTTGCTCAGGTCACTCCACTCTCCCTTTGGGTCATAGTCTTTCCCCTGGCCAAGGGCTGATGAGCAGCCCAGGGCCTCCTTAAGTAACAGGGATGACTTTCCTCCTTAGCTGGTGGCTGAGACAAGCAGTCATCCCCGCCACCCCCGCCCAAGCCAGTGTCCGGGCCACACACTCTTCTCCCTTGGGTAATGGAAATGTCACCTTGATTCATGAGCACTCGTCTGCAGCAGCCAGGCCTGAGGACAAGGCATGCTGGGGGAGACTAGGAAGAGCTGCTGCTGTTTGGGTGCCAGCCCCTCGCCTGGGAGGAGATGAGGACAGAAGACAGCACAGAGGCTGCAAAATTAGGCAGGCCTGGGTTCAGGTCCTGAGGCCACTCACTCAGTCCTGCTGTGGGTCTCACACGCCCAGGAATTAGTTACTATGCCAGGAACTGAGCTATACCCTGGAGCTGCCATGGTGAACAAGAAAAGACACCATATTTAACCTCCCAAGGGTGTCCTCCAGTGGAGGAGACAGAAATTATGCAAAGAATGTTAAACAATAAAAAGATCACTTCAAAGAAAGAAGAGTGTTATGTAGGTGAACCAAGAAAAGATCTAATTTAGACCAGAGGGTGGGGAGGACCCCTCAGAGGAAAAGCCATTGCAGCACTGACTGGAGGAGCAGGAAGAAGGCAGTAGAGTACAGTGTGTGCAGAGGGATAGCATATGCAAAGGCCCTCGGGTAGGGAGGAGTGCCATTTGGCTGTGTGCAGCAGGAGAACAGGACAAAGTGCCTGGAGCAAGGACGTGAGGTCTGCCGCTGGATAGTCTTCTGGGCTAAAGGCTGTGGGAGCTGTTGATCAGAGTTTTAAAAAGCAGACACCATCAGCTCTGCATTTGGGTAAATTCTTTCCATCTGCGTGTGGGGCAGGCCTGGGAGATGGGTGTTGGAAGGAGATAGGGTGCACAGAGTGGGCTACAGCAGGGTCCTTGTGGGAGATGGTGGTGGCTTGGGATGCACTGGCACTAGGGATGGAGGTAAGTGGGTGTCTGAGCAGTGGCACCTAGGTGGCTTGCAGATGAGTAGTGGGTGGGGTGCCTGGCTCCACTTGGGCTTCTGTTTGGGGCTTTGATGCTGTATGCCCTATTAAGCCTTGGTAGAAATCAGGGAAAGAAGGCTTCTGAGTGGATGAATTAGAAGAGGGTGTCTCTTCCTGCCCTAAAACACAGAATATGTGACCCAGGGCACACAGCTAGGAGGGCCTAGAACTGAGTGTCAACTAGGGGCCTTGGGGCTGTGACCAATTGCACCTGCCCTGGGCCTGAGCTGTCTGTGGGGCTGAGGGCACAATCAGCCCAGCCCAGGACCATCAGTCATGAGGAAAAACCAATCTCTTATGTGTGAGGATTTACTGCATGGACAGACAGGAAATCACCGTGCAGGAGCCCTGCCCTGTCCCCCAGCACGGCCCAGCTCATGTTACCCTGGTAATTGCTTCTTGGACCTCATCTCATCCTAGACTGACACCAAGCCTCTGCCTTGGGGAGGTTTGTGGCTGGGCTGATAGCTGCAGGCCTGGCAGGGGAGTGGGCAGCTGGCAGGACAGGCTGGGGTGTGAGGGGCCTTAGGGCTTCAGGGAGAGTGGAAGGAGACTGTGTGGGGACAGCTCTGGGTGCATACCCAAGCCTGGTGTGCCCACTCTGTCCCTTCCCTCCTGGCCCTCCTGAGGACTGCCAGGATGTGTGTGTCAGGGTGGGAGGTGCAGGCAGCGTGGGTGTGGGAGAAGCAGGGATGAAGAGTAGGGAGGAGACTCAACTGCAAGGGGAAGGGGAGAAGCAAGCTGGGGAAAGAGTTGGCAGGGGAAGGGCAGAGCAGAAGTGCTGCCCAGCCAATGGGCTGGTTGCTCTAAGGTCAACACCCTTTGTGGACCAATCAGCTGAGACTGGGAAGACTTAAGTAAGAGGCAGCACCTGCTTCTCCTATGAAGAGCCCAGGCTCAGCTCGGCGCCCATAACT